TAGGACAGCAAGTGCTCCTTAGTTCTAAGAATTGTAATAATTTGCAAAATTATGATGAGGTGAGGGCAGATTTTTATGGCTTTGGATAGGGAGAACATTTTAGAGAGGTAGATAAGGTGTCTCTAGGGTTGGGGTGTACCTAGAAGAGAAAACATTCTGCCAAGAGCAAGACATCACTGATATTATGAGATTCCTCATGGACAAAAGTGCAAAAGAAATGCTATTGTGTGTGTAACTACAAATGCATGTAGACATGCACACACACACATATATCTTTGTCTCTTTTCTCAACTTTGCAAGAGCAGTATTTTTGCAGGCTGTAACCTAAATCTTGCCCAGGCTTCACTCTTGCTTACTCGATTGTTCTACTTTTCTTAGATGCCAACTTGGGTTTTCCTCCCATCTGTACTTTCTCCTTCTCTGAATGGATTTTGGGGAAGACTCAATAGAGTACCCGGGCTTCCCATTTTCTGTCCAGTAAAATGAAACATTTTAAAACCCAGCCACAAATGTAAGTTTAATAATTCTTGATGGCTTCCCTGAGACTGAATTTTAATATTTCTCAATATCCAATGCCTGGAAGCTAACACAAAGTGACTATCTAAAACTGCCAGAAATTGGCTTCCTGCGGTTTTGAATGTGAAAGCGGGAACATGATTTTGGGGCAGCTTCATTTCTCCTTTTGAGAGGTATCACTTTGGTGGGCCCTCTCTGTCATGCTTACTTATATTAAATAACTACTTCCTGCCCTTGAGGTAGCTCAAGTCTTGATAGAAATAATCTAAAAGCAAATACTCTATAATGGAATATTAAGTATTCTGTTTAATAATATAAAAGCAATCCCAAGATGTCCTGTGAAGAACATCTTTACAGATTTTTTTTTCTCCTTTAATGAAATGGCTAGCTTCTCCCCCGGCAGGGCTTGAAACAGGATTTGGGCATAGTTATGGGTGTTGGGACAGAGGGTACAAAGATATGGTAGAAGAGTTTACTCTGAAAGATAAGTTTGAGGGCGTCAATTCTGACAATCAGTCGGGGGTTTGAGATTTATTTCCAGGAAAGATAAAGGACTTGCCATCGAACCATTATTTGATTCGTTTACCAATGTCCTTGGCTGTTCTCTATGTACTGCTCAATATTTCAGGTTTTATTTCTAATTGACACATAATAACTGTATGTATCTTTGGGGTACAGGGGGATATTTTATGTAAAGATTAAAGCAAAGCAATGAGCATATCCCTGACCTTAAATATTTGGCATTTCTCTGCAGTGGGAACATGCAAGATCCTTTCTTCTAGCTATTTTGAAACACACATTACTATAAACTGTAGTCACCCTACTGAGACACCAGGATGTAGTCCTCCCATCTAACTATAACGGGACTTGTTGACCAACCTTCCCCATCTTGTCTTGCCCCACCTACCCCAGCTGGAACATTTCTGCTGCACCTCTACAGTGAAACCAGGGGCAGCAGCTTCTCCATTTCGATGAAAACATCAAACTTTGCCTTTTTCACTGTGGCTTCAAGGAGATCAGATTCTGATCAGTTCCAGCTTCCAAAAGGAATCCAGACGCAAATTTTATTACTCAAAACTCTATGTTGCAAGTGACAGGAGCCCCAAAGAGTAACTGGCTACTTAGAAGGGAATGCCTTTATTTCCTCAGCTTCTCATACTGAGGAAAGATTTTCTTTACCTGGAAGGTTCACTATCACTTGACTTCATGGCCTTCATAGCTTTTTACTCCAGTAGTTCTAAATAGAAATATTCATGGAAGAAATCTCAGGGGCAAAGTGTAGTTTATATGCCCCCATCCACCCAATCACTGTGAGCAAAGGAAGAATTATGATTGGTCTGATTTGGGTCATGTGCTCACTTCTATGGCCAGAAATGTGAATTACTGCAGCATTTAGGCCCTTGCCATTTTAGAGTATACACGCCTGCTTTTCAACTTCTAGCTCTTCCGCCTCTGGGCAAGGATGCTTTTGACCACCAGGGCTCACACTGCCTGTAGACATAGCACATCGTGAGTGCTCAGCAATTAATATCTCCTTGGAGCAGCCCTCCACCAGTGATTTGGATTTTTGGTGTCAAAAGGGGCTCCATCCCTGTGGGTGATTTCATTTCAGACATACACTTAACGTCACGTACCAGAGTGAGATTCAACTCAGTTCACCACAGTTGTATGTTGCTTGGCGTCACACTCTGTTTGCTTCTTTTTCTTCCATGTCTCCCACCCTCTTGCTGTGTTTCTTAAGACCGTTTTCCAGATGTGCTTACGTGTGAGACCTTATCTCAGTGATTTCTAAGAAAATACAAACTGAGAGTTATCATGATTGGCAGCTTGTCACATGATTCAGATGGAGATGAAGCAGTATGTTAAAGGAGTTGATAGTTCTGAACATACAGAAAGAATAGTTATCCACTGAAAACTATATACCACACACAACAGCAAGGAATGAGAACTTATAATAAACGACTTCTCACTGGTCCAACATTTGGGCAAAAGTATTCCTGCTTTGACATTCCCAAGGGAAGCAGACAGACCCCCCAGCAGATTGGCTCAGGAGGGGAAGCGTCCAGGCATCCCAGAGTGAAAACCATGCCTTTTCTGCCACTACTTTGTTAACCTGAGGCCTCTGCTCCTCCAGCTGAATCTCAGCCCAAAAGCTCAGACGGGTGTTTTCACCCCTTTTGATGCCAGCCTGAGTTGGGTTAGTTGGTTTATGTTTGGTGATGTTCCTTTTAGTCATTTGGATTTGTGTGATGGCCTCGGCATATTCAGTAACAAAAATATACCGCCTGTATTTGTGCATCGGCTATGGCATCCCTTCCCCTTTTCATTTGGTTTCATTGGTTTTTAAAGCCAAGCATATTTTATATATGTTATGGGTTGAATTGTATAAAGCAGAGCCTGAAATAGGGGTTCAGGTGGATGTAACTCTGAGGGAGTTATTTTCAAATACATTAGAGTTTAAGTGAAATACAATAGGGAAGGTAAAAAAACTACACAAGGATGGAGGTCTCAGATGAAGTCGAGTCCAGGGGTGATCAAACTATGGCTCTTAGGCCAAGTCTGGAGCTACTTGATTTTGCAAATAAAGTTTTATTGAAACATAGTCATGTCTATTTGTTTATATGTTATCTAGGGCTGCTTTCATACTGTAGTAGTAGATTAGTTACAATACAGGCTAAATGCCTGCAAAGCTTAAAATATTTACTACCTGACCCTCTACAAAAAGCAAGGAATGAGAGTGCTACAAAAAGCATTTGACAACCCTAATCCTAAACATGTCCTAATTCATAGTGAGTTTCAGAGCACCCGTTGCTCCTAAAGTTGTCGCCAGTTGTGAAGCAAACGGCTTGTCTTGTCTCCTTGGTGTTAACCATGGATTGGTTGTCAACCATGCATTGGTTGCTAGCCACCCCAAGTTTTGAGTGTGAGATACATGAAATAAATTAAGCTTGAGTTGGTGACTCCATCAGCTGACAGCCATTCTCTGCACACCAGGGGCAACTGAGTTTTTGTCAATCAATATGCACAGAAGCTGGGAAATGGGTGGCTGTAGAAGTATGATAAAGATCTTTTCAAGGTACCTGCAGCGTAGATATAATGTGCACCTGGATTAATGCCTGTACTTCCTGAAGATGGAGAGACCCAAGATTTCCTAGCTGAAACTGAACCATCACTTTCTGAACTATACTCTTTGTCTCCAATTTTATCTTGCCCGTCTCCCCATCTTTTGCGCTCATGAGGAAGATGGGGCCCCTAACAAATTCTCCCCAGTCCTACCAGCCTTTCTAGACCAACCTTGTTCCACTGTCTTCTCTTGTATTCTACAGCCGTGCATGGCCAGGTGCCAGTCTCTCACTTCTGAGACCCCCGGTTTCCCTCTAGCCACAAGGCCCAGGCTGACTTCTCTGCCCACATACTTCTCTAGTGCCTTTTCTCTCCCACCACACTGAACTAGCATTGTGCTCTTCCCCTGGATCTCATCTCAAAGGGTATTTCCTCAAATGAACCTTCTGCAGCCTGTCTTCCCATGGATCCCCTTTCTCTGTAACAGCCAATATTCATTATGTGTGTTTTATATATTTTATATGTCTTATACCAGCCATAGCACATTAAAATAGGTGTAGACTTTTTCCTTGAAGAAAAATTCTGTATTATTTGTATTATTTTGAAGCTTTCTTCCCTATTTAATAATAGAAGCCTCAAGAAAAGCTGCAGTTTGACATATGTAACTTATTTTAATGCACTTTTTCTAACAATTGCAAGATATTTATATATATATATTACAATATAGGCATAATAATTTTAAAGAATTTCCATAGTAACAGGAGTTCAGTTTATTTTTTGTATTTTTATTTTATTAGGAAACAATACAATTGTGCAAAAAAAATCTCTGAACAAATATCCGTACATTCTGGTGCTTATGTTTCTGGAGGCTCAGTCCCTAGCTATAGCTATTGTTTGGTAAACAAATGCACGTACTTTGAATTTCAATACACTGTGCTAACTTCTTTTTTGCAAGTTATAGCAGGTTCCTTGTTACCAGGCACTTAGGAGGATTTTATCTTCCTGACATCTTTGCCAGTGTTTGTGTCCTCCAATGCTTTTAATGGTTGCCCACCTCTTGACAAAGAAATGCCTTCTCATTGTGCTTCTGATTTGCATTTCCTTGACTGTGTCTGAGGTTGAGCATCTTTCTACACAAATATTGTTTTGATAACAAAAATAACCCCTTAATCATGGAACCTTAATATGTAAATTTAAGGGAGAAGTGGAGATGTTTTGAGCACATACTCTGTCCTTGAAGGTGAAGTCCCCCATATGTCCTCAGTTGCTCTCCAGTGAGTTTGGTTGTTTATTTTTGCTTTTCTGCCCCTCATGTTCCCAAAGGGTATGGAGAGTTTTAGTTTCAAGGGATTTGATGATGATGGAGGTTAGTAGAAGGTTCTTCCTTATCTGTGACTGTCTCTCTGCCTCTTCACTTTCAGATACCACCCAGATGAACAATGCAGTACCCACCTCTCCTTTGCTCCAGCAGATGGGCCATCCACATTCATATCCCAACCTGGGTCAGATCTCCAACCCCTATGAACAGCAGCCACCAGGCAAAGAGCTCAACAAATATGCCTCCTTGAAGGCAGTCGGTAAGGCCTCTGCATGGATCCCTGTTTTCTTTCTCCTCCCTCTTTTCTCTGTTTGTGTTCTTCTAAACCTCTTTCTCTCCAACTTTTCTACCGCTTTCTCCCTCTCTCTATTTCTTCTTTTATATTCTGTTTTTCTGTGCCATTCTCTTTATCTATCTATCTATCTATCTATCTATCTATCTATCTATCTATCATCTATCTATCATCTTTCATAGGTTTCTTTATATTGGACCCATGTTATTGAGAACCAAAGTCCCTTAGCTGTTTTCTCTCACTAAGCTCAAGTCCTACTTTACTACATTGATGTACAAAGTAGTGCAGTTGGACATCAGCCACATGTTGGATTTATTTGCTGGGGAGTGGATCTGGATACTCATGTGGTGTCCTTGATACCCAAACACTTTCAGTATCCTCTATCTGCCATAGTGAATTCTTAGGAATCCAGACATGGAATACAGGTCTCTGAATGCTTTGCCTTTTAGTGAGTAGCATCTTTCACCTACACAGTCCATCCCATCTCTCTGAGGTTAGTATGCAATGCACATTCCTATCCCAGGTAGCCTCTGATACTCCAAATGTAAATATTTTCTGGAACGGGCACCTGGGGCTCCATAAATTGAGTCTTTACCAAGTGTGCAATACTGTGTTAGATCTTTACTCACACTGCCTCACTGATCCAAAGAGGAGGACACACATCATCCCAATTGTTGGTTTAGGTAACATACTCAAAGAGGCTGGTTTAACTTGCCCCAAATCAAACAGCAGAGGGTAACAGAGCTGATACTATCACTGCCCTGGTTCTTTGAAACCCATCCCCCACTCATTCTTGAGGGAGGATGGTAGTAACCTCTACAGTGACCAAGGATTTGAACAGTTTGCTTCTAGAACAGTTCCACTGGATGGAAGCAGTAGCCACACTAGTTAGTGATTCCTGATTTGTGATTGGCTGTAGCAACCTCTGTTCTCCCTAAGCAAGCATCTCTTACTTGAGGATGTTAATTATTAGAATCACGTGCAAAATAGGTTCAATACACCTATGCCCTGGCCCCACACTAGAGATTTTAAGTAAACTGCTTGAGGATGGGATTCAAAATGGAGCATTTTGGATGCTTCCAAAGTGAAGCCAGCAGAGCCAGGGTTGAGAGCCATTGCTTTGAACCAGCCCAGCAGTCCAGCACCCAGGAAAACCAAAGCCCGTCTCAAGTGCCTGCTCTGAGCTCCTGCTCCTAGGTGTTTTAATTGTTCTCCACATTGCTATGCATTCTTACTATAGCGGAGAGCCCTCTTCTTTCCTTTTCACTGTGTCCTATGAGTTGTTTTCCCTCCCTGTCTCAGAGGAGAGATTTTCAAGCCATTCTTTCTCCTGTACCTGTTCCTTGTCTAAGTTTATTCTGTGTAGAGTTCAAAGGAGCCATACAGATACAGGTTCAAGCCCTGACCCTATCACTTCTTCTCTGTGACCTTGGGCAACACATAGGTCTCCATCTTCTAGTCTGTAAAATGGGCAAAAAGGTGTCAATGAAGATAAAGCAAAATGACAGATTATGGCCTGGTAAAGACATATATATATATGTCATCTCCCTTCTCCAGAGCCCACTGGTTTGTTACTGGCAGCTGCACAGACGAATCCTTTCCTGATTCCGTTTCATAATATGCTCAGGTCTCTTGGAAAGGTCTTCTTCTCAATTACTGTAAGCATTTTCCTTTCAAATAGGAAGAAGACTTGTCTATGAGAGCCCACAGTAATAAAACAATTCACTTTTTCTGAGACTCTACTGTATCTGCAGACTATACTAACTATACGGCCCCTTCTTCCCTTTGGATGTTTGTAGTCTTTTTTTAAGTTCTCAATATATTTGGTTCCTGGAAAAGTTTGGACACGTGGAGACCTCACAGTTCTCTTTTCTTGCCCCACTGCCAAGCCCCTCATTAGAGATGGGAAGAAAATACTTGTTGATTGACTTCAGAATTAAATATCCTAATGCTGTGAACTAACTCCAGAACCCAGAGGACAGGCACTACCTTGTGTCCATGATGCTTGCGTTAACCATGGACTGTAGACATAGGATTCATGAAGCAAGCGTATGGGTGCCTTGTATCAGGCCAGGAACAGACTAGGTGATTAGAAGTCTATCTTTAGGAACTCACATTCCCCATCTCCTAGGACTTCCAGATGGAACCACTGAAAGAGGGATCGAGCCAAATTTATAATAGCAAGGTCACAGGTTGTGCAGCTGGACACAGGCTTTTCTAAATCTGCAGCCTTGTGTGACATTATCTACTAGTTACTCATGTATCATGCTTTATTTTCATGCCCAACTCTCGATGCCCCCAAACCTCAGATTCCCTCTCTTCTATATTGCATGTTTGCATAGCATATGTAGCCTAAGCTTGTTCAAATATACTCAGATATTACTAGGAAGGGATGAAAGCTGTTGCCTAGGAGAGCAGGAATTAGGCATCCTCACCGCAATATAACTGTGAAAGACCTCACACACTATTTGGTGGCCTGCCCCCTTTTCTGAGCCTTGAAGTTCAGTGATAAATGGCACCTGCTGTTGGATTTGGTTCCTATTTAGGCATTAAAAATATCAGCCCAGATTTTTTTTCAGGACTTGTCACGTTATCCTATGCAAATTATTTCTTCTACTTAGGCTTAGAGTCTCCCCCGACCCTCCAATACTCAGTACCTCTGTGGTAAATAACAGTGAGATGCTCCAACAGAGCTTCTTTATACTCTCCAGGATTTAGGCAAGGCTCTGTTAGATAACAAATATCTGCAAAGCATTTGAAATTAAATTTGCAATACGAAAATCTATTTGACACTTTTTGTGTAACCCTTAGTTCCACAAATTAGGGACTCCTGAAATGTTTATTGAATGAATGAATGAATGAGCCTATCTTTGACAAAAATCAAAGAATAGCTTTGTTATAAGGAAGAATTCTTATATTGTGTAGCAAACTGAAGCATTTCTCTTGTACAAACCATCCTGGATATGATTAATGGAACCTTTTTCTTCTTTATCCTTCTTTTGGAGAACAGTAGGATATATGGGGCTTTAACCGAGGGGTCATAGATGGCCTTGTGAGCCTCCAGCAAGTGGAGCACCAGTTTCGAAGCAGGATAAAGAATGACTTGACCCAATGGTTACCCTGGCATCCAGCATCTGGCTGCATCAGTGAACTGCATATCCCATAATAAATGTCCTTTCGAGGGTTCTTTATTAAGGCATAATGTGATCATGGTGTGAATGCTGAAATGCATTTCATTAGTGAAATCATTACCACCCAGGAGAGAAGTTGTTTAAAAAATGGTTTGCTGTTGAAAGCCCTGCAACTTCTCCTAACTAGACTCATTTCCTAAAAACTTTAAGGAATAAGGGAGAATTGGTCAGCCTCTAGGGTTGACTACTAAGTTCAAAAACTAACTCTGGAAAATAAATTTCTCTTGTACAATTTAATATCCAGAAACTGAGGTTTATAATCAGAAGTTCCATCTTGGCTGAATTTCTGGCCTTACTTGGCTGTATGACATTAAGCCAGCCACTGAATGTTTGGACTTGAATATCTTCATGTGGAAAACAAGCCAAACTATATGGCCCCCAAACTCCAGTCCTATTTTAAAATTTTAACATTAAGAAGTAAGCAAGCTCCACTCATTGTAACTACTGAAATACTGTGGGTCGTTGCTCATTTCCATTCATTCACTGCTAATGCGGCAAGAAAAAAAAGATTTGAAGAAAGGGTGTTATTCTTTGGTTGTTCCTGAAACACATTCTCCCCCAACTCTGTGTTATTTCATTATTTTATTTTTGTTGGGTTGTTTGAGATCATTCTCACTTATGGTTACAGAGGGATCTTTTCTTTTTAAAACTCAGGGATCAGGGAGTGTATAGTATGTGGCTGCTGAATGGTCTCTGCTCTCAAGGGGCTCACTGCTCCACTACTGGTAAAAAAAATGAGCACATGCTAGAGAAATGTCAGTGCCAAACTGTATAGAACTCTGTATAAGAAAGAGTGTTGCTGGGGATATAGCTCAGTGGCACAGCACCTGCCTGGCAAGGGCAAGGTCCTGAGTTTGATTCCTGGTATCAAAAAGAGAAAAAAAAGAAGGCGATGGGGATGAATTATCACTCATTCAGCTCAATTCATTTATTCATTCTCCAAGCGTGGAATCTGGTGTCCCTTGATTATAGGTCCCACTGAGGCATGGGCCATGTCTATCCTGTTCGTCAGTGTATCCCTGGAATATAGCACCATTTGGGGGCACCTAGTAAGTGTTTCCACTCCCTATCTGTAAAACCAGGGCACAATAGCACAGGGTAGGAACCACGTCAGGTCAGGAGCCTGAAACGGTCAGCAAGAAGACAGAAACATAGCCTCACCTCTGCGGGATGGCATCGATCAGGACTGAGTGCAGGACCCAGCTAAGGCACTATCAAGAAACTGCAGAAATTACTTAGTCTCAAGTCTCACTCTCCCTATCTGCAAAATGAAGATAATAATATGCAGCTAATGGCTTAGAAAAGTCAATGATATAACAAGGTAAAGTTCTTACCCTGGTACATAGTAAATACTGAAGCATATTAAATTCTCCAGACCACAGTCCTTTGTTGGTCACATTATTCCTCTAATTTTCAAGATATACTGGTATATTAACATGCAGTCACCCAAATTTCATTTTTGAGGGAGAAGGAATTAGATCTGTATTCTTCACTTCAGTTTGAGAAAGACATAAATGAAAGTTGGCTCACATCGTGGATCTGATCAAATAAGCAAGACAAAAAAAAGTAAATTGCTTTTCTGAGAATCGCAGTACTCAGCAGAGTCAGCCCAGACGTCGCCACAGTCTCCGTCTATAGCCTGGACAGTGAAGGTCTGGTTGTGTGAATGGTACAATCCATCAAAAATGTTTCATTTCACTCAGTTGACTCTCCTTACTAAGACTGCAGTGAGGGCTTAAACAGTTTGGAAACATTTTCTACCAAGGTTTAAATTGAGAAATGTGTCTTGTAGACTGACCCAACATGGAACTGAAAGACTTGGTTAAGCACCCATGTTCCCTGGCCTGAGCTGCCCAAGTGACGGGTAGTTACACTGGGAGAGCCACCTGCAGCTCTTTAAGAACCAGCCTCTTCCTTTCTATACCATGGGTTCATCTCCTTTTAATGAGCATTTTTACCCAATAACTATTTCCCTAACATCCAGTACCGTCACCAAGTACATAGTAGGGACTTAAGTATATGTTTGGTACTGCTTGTGCTACCTTATTAAGGGCCCTCATTGCCAATGGATTTATGAAGGAAACTGGTTATTGCTTTGTCAGAGCTAAACCCTGTCTTAGGTTGTAGTGACAGAGATGACAAAGGAGTAGTTCCTGCCTTCAAGGCAAATAATGATGGGTTTGATTTGGGGGTGGGATGATGTCCTTGGAATCAGTGACTCAGGGATTGGTCAGCCTTGTGTCCACCAGCACAGGAAGGTCTGGGGCCATATCACTATTTCCAGATGACCAGGGCTCTGAGGGAGAAGAAACACCAAGTCACCCCAGGCAGATCTCACTCAATTTTAACTTCATTCCTCTTTCCCTGCCACTCCAATCTCTCCTCTGTTGTGAGTGATGAGCGTGTAGAGTTTAGATCCCCAGGAGGAATGTGGCAATTTGAATGTCCTTTGGCATGCCTGGGAGGCCAACCAGAAATGTTTAAATGGGGCCGGATCTGTGCTCTGTAATCATTCAGATCACAGACTGTTGCCTGCATCCCCTCTCGGTAGGCAGCCTGAACTATCTCTGGAAATAGTGCAGACAGTGTTGAGGACTTGGATACTGCAGGGAGATTCCTAAGAGAGGAAAGGGGAGCAAGGAGGACTCACTGATTAGCCAGTCCTCCAGCTAATGTGGAGAAACCGTTATGTGTAGAGTGGCCCCGCTTTGAGTAAAACCCAGTCTTACAGAGAAGGAACATCAAGGGAGGGGCGGTGTAGATGTGGTCCTTCTCATCTTCCTTTATTTTATAAAACAGTCAACATGGGATTCTGTTAATAATATGAGAGTCTCCCAGGCCTCATTCAGAACATCTGAAAGGGAACTCAATTTGGAGAAACTGATTTATAACAAAAATTCCAGGCATACATCTGTTCTGTAAAGCAATGAATTACTCATTACGCGATTCTCAAATAACAAGCTGGATCCATTTAGTACTTAGGGGAATTTCCTTACCTTAGGAAGAGTGACCCTTTGGAGAAAATTGGATTTATGCATTCATTCAACAATATTTTTCCAACATTGACTTTATGCTAGGCACTATGGTAGCAAAATCTTATCCAGTATTTATAATTATGGCCCTTGGAATCTGTCCTAAACCTGAACCTGGAACTTGCATTTGGAATAACACAACCCCCACCTTGAGGGGGGGTTGCAATAAAGCAGGATCAAAATTTATCTCTTGTCATCACAGTGTAGTCATCAAAGTGACCTCATATAACTCAAATATTCCTCTTTTGTAGCAAGTTGAAATTATGAGCCAGATTTACTGCCTAAGAATTCTCTCACTACATTATATAACTGAAAATATCTGAGCACTGAGGGGGCTTCCTTTGATCTTGTGTCAGGCATTAACACAGTTCTGCTTCAAGGCCTTGCACACAGAGGCACAGGGGGCTGCATGTTCGTACTCAGCTCCCCTCTGTTCCCTGGGTCCCCTGAGGGCTACCCCCATTGGGGGCTGCAGCTGGGGCAGCAGCAGCACCTGGGTGTGAGGGCGTAACAAACAGGCCTGCCTGGTGCACAGATCAGCATCTCTCAATTGTCATTTTTTTAGGAAATTCTGATGGTGACTGGACAGTGGCGACACTTAAGTCACCAAAAGGTACCGTATGGCCTTTTCTGCCTCTTTTGTCTAGGTGTTGTCAAATTTAATATTAAATAATGAAGGAAAAGAGAGTCCTGGTGTCTGTATATGACCCAGTGTGCATTTATGTCTGCCTTGGGTGGTATCTCTAAGTTCCGATGTATAGGTGTTTGTGTGTGTGTGTACGTGTGTACATGTTTATGTGGGCCTGGGTATGGTCTGTCTACGCTCTGGGCAGTTGTTGAACAATGTGCCACACCCTGTGCTTCCCAATATTTGTTGCCTGAAGGAAAATTCTTCTGCCAGAAAACATCCCAGGTAAGAAATCCAGGAATTTTTCCTTTTTTCCTCAGAAAGCTACAAAAGCAAAATGGGATAACACAGGGCAGGTTAATGCGGGGAGCACGACTTCTGATGGAAAGGTAAATACAGTCATGTCGTTGACTAAAAGTTTGGGGGAATGATTAGCCTTTTAGGAACAGGATGTACTTTTTACTTTCCTAGGCAGAAAGGTGAGGAGCAAGACAAGCAGTTCGCAGACCTGAACCTGGGAGGTAACTAGCTGGGTGAGGAGGCCAGATAATAGCTATAATTACTTAACTCCCTACTGTGTGCCAGAGCTCTGGTCCTTCATATGCATTTTGACCCTTCATTTTCCAGTGATTTGGCTGTGTAGGCATTGTCATTCCCATTTAGAGACAAGGTCACAGGGGTCTCAAGAAGGTTAGTTACGCCTATTTAAAGGCATACAGCTAGGTGCTAATGGTGGCTCTGCGATTTGAACTCACGACTGTCTAACAGCAAAGCTACTTTTCTCTAGGGGAAATGGGAGCAGCTCTTTTCTGGACAGACCGGAGCCACTTGTAATTTTTCATCCTTTATGTTTTCCTGGGTTCAGAAATAGAAAGAAAGCAGCTGGCCCAAGGAGGTGGAGGTAGAACTCTTGAATGACCTTGAGCTGAGGGAGTGTAGGAGACAAAGCACAGCTCCGTGCAGGGTATTGGCAGGACCATTTTGCCTTCTCGAAAGAGCGCTCTGACTTCCAAAAGGAGGTGGTTAGGGAGAGTGGCTGCTCAGAGGCTTTTTCAGGCAGGCGGTGACCTGCATGGGATGGGGGAAGGTGGCATGGAGGGATAATGCAGAGCGCGTGCGCGAGTGGGTGTGATGGGAGGAGCAACCCAAAGACTTGTGGCTCTCGCATTTGAGCCACACAAGCGCACACTAGCATCACCTGGAGGACTGTTACAAACCAGATTTCTGGGCTCCACCCCGGAGCTTCTCCTTCACTAGGCCGTGAGTGGGCCCTGGGAATTGAGTTACTGTGAGTTCCTGCGGTGAGGCTGATGCTGCTGGCCTGGGGACCATACTTTGAAAATCACTGCTGTAGAGAAACCATTCTGGGAGGCTGTGACACTTGTATGAGGTCTCTAGGTATTTTTTCTGAGGTTTACAGTTCTGAAGAATGGAGTCTGACCGGGGCCCTAGAGGCTCAGAAACACCTGGGTTCAGGGATGGGGCTGGGGTGGGAGGGAATCAGGTCCCACAGTGGGAAAGGGAGCTTCAGAGCCACATGTTTAATGAGAATCCCCTGACTACCCAGTTGCTGTCGAGATAGAGACAGATTTTCGGGTCTTGCATTAGATAATAATTGTTCACATGTCAAAGTCCATTTTTAGAAATGCAAACACTATTTGGAACATGACAGACCTACTAATTTGAGAGGCATAAATTTTTTTTCTCTCCCCTGTGAAAAACAAAGCCATTAGGACCCCGTGACAGCATTTGGAGGCAGTCTGCTTCCCTGTCCTTAGATTAGCCAGTTGTCAGATACATTTAGAAAAAATTTCAGGACAGGTCAAAAGCAAAAAATAAAAGAAAAGAAACAGAAAAAAGAAAGAGAAAGGAGGGGAGGGTTTGAAAACGGTTTTCTACCCACACTAGGCTAACTTCACTTGTCCTGCTAAATGCACCCTTATTTATTTTGCCTTGTCTGGAGTAGGGTGGAGGGAAGAGCTCCAGAGAAGGCCAGGCCCAATTTTCTTTGAGGTCACTGGTCTTTCTGTGGTGTTGTCTACTAACCTCCAGGTCCTGAGATAAGATAAAGAATATTAGCAAAGTTGGAGGGTTTTCTATGGTCCTGCCACTTTAAGAGGAAGAAACTAGTTGAGTATGATGGGCTTAGGCTCAGATTCATCTGAATTCTAATTCTGGCTCCATCACAAGGTCTTGTTACCTTACACAAATTGTTCTGCCTCTCTGAGCCCGTTTTCTGACCTGAAAATGCAGACAATGAAACCACATACCTCCTAGATCACTGAGAAGATGGGATAATGTTTAAAATATGTGTCAAAGTACATAGCATAAGGAAAGTGGTAAGTGCGTACAGGGTATTATATTATTTTGCCATTACTATCAAGTCAACAAAATCCTGTGACTCCCCCAAATTCCCTGGTAAACTCCACTTAGCCCACCATTCCCCAAGCATTTTTGACATCAGCTCTCTTCTCTCTTGAGGCAAACCAGTTAACATCTTAATATCCGGTGGTGCAAATGTTGCTGGGTGCCCACTTTGAGAACATCAAGCATGAACTAAGAAGTAGATGAGGAGAGGGTGTCACGTGGGGAGTTTGAATAAGAAAGAGTAGCTGTGAGGACAAAATCCTGCAGGATACAAGTGTCTTGATGCCACCTGCATTGACTGTTACCGTAAAGAGAACCTACATGCCAGAACAAGAAATGGTGTTTCACTCCTTTGCATTGTCTGATATCATTACTTAGGGCTTCCCGTGCAAGTCGCCCCCTGGTGGTCACTGCTGTTGATCCACCTGTGCCCAACCCTGGTAACTTTTGCTTTGTTTAAAATCTACCAAGAGAAGATATTACTTCAAGTCCAGCAGATTGTACTAATCAAGATGAAGCATGTCTCCAGGAATCTCTTTATTTTTCAAAATGAAGCTGAACTTTCCAGAGCTACCCTGAAGCACTGAACTTGGGGAAACTGATACTGTGATTAAACTGGTCTAGTTCTGCGCGGAATCAGCCTGTTTTCTCTTGCCCAAGCCACTCCCACCCTGTAAACTTCCGTTTCTACCGCTGTTGAAATAGAGGCAGTCAGGATATCCACCTGCACTGGGTTTGAGGGAGAGATTGTGTGAGGTAATGCAAGCACACTTCTTAGCACAGGGCTTGGTATACAGTAGGTGCTAAACATGCATAAAAGAGGCTAGTGCTCGCGTAATTTCCATTCATCTCTGCTGCAGATATTATTCTTAATGATCATGAGAGAGTGTTTCAGAAATAAATACACTGCACTCTGCTTTTCTGCTGTTATAAGTAAGGAAATTGGGTCCCCTGGGAAAGGAGGGTTGCCTAAAGTCACACAAGAAAATTACACCTCAACAGGACCCTGAAGAAGGGCTTCTCAGACCTCAAAGAAAGGCTTAAGGGCTTGACTCAAAAATCTCTGGAGATGCAGGATACAAATGTAAATCCCGAGCCCACCTACTCCTAAAGACTTGGAACATCTGACTATGGGGCCCAGCGCATTCACTTTTAAGGGCATCTCCTGCGTTATTCTTATGTACACTACAGTTTAAACTTACCTTTTTCTAATACCCAAACTTAAATACAAACACAGTTTATCCTAGAGCCCCAATTCTTACAGTGTCCTGCTCAACATGAGTATTTTTGATGTTCGCTAAAATGAAAGTTTTCTTAATGGTCGTTTGAACTGGGCCACAGCTGGAAGATAGGCCCATCAGAGGTAGACTCCCTTGGATTCAGTTTCCTGCTCTGCCACTCATTAGCAGTAAAAGAGTGACTCGATAGCCAAATTATTCACATCACTGGACCTTAATTCCTTCATCTGTTACATGGAGTCGTGTTGCCTTATCATCTTTCCTTATGGGAATTTGAATGTGATTGTGTAAGTGAAATAGGTGCAGCTGTATCTAGCCCATAGTAGGTTCTCAACCAATCTGAGCTATTTCTTTCTCCTAAGAAAATTGATGTAGCCCAGTGAGAATTGTTCATCCAGGAGACTCTATGGGAGGCCCAGGCAATGGAAAATGTGTAATTGGGTTACAGTTCCATTGGAGTGCACACATCCCACAGACCATCCTGGGGGAACACTCACCTAGAGGCTGCCTCAAAACATTACTTCCTGAAATTCTGGCCTTTGCAATTTCCTGATTTGGGTTATTGGTTTGGTAGTGAGCAGTAGAATACAGAGCAGGAGGAAGATAGGGGGTGATGTGAGGTGATATTTTTTAATAAAAATCAAATCCCACCTGCTCTTGTGTTTGGTTCTTTTGAAAAGCACACAGCAAGCACTGGAGTTTTGACGGGCGTCCTTGCGAACTCATAGGGCATGAAATGAGCTGGTGGAGCAGGTTCTCTGGGTTTTAGAAAATGCCATCACCTCAGGATTGTAATAAACATTTTACTGGTTTGAAAGCAAGTCTCCCGGAGCATAAGCCGGCTAGACCCATTTAATTCAAAGCTACCTTGCTGGATGTCCACAGTACATACTAGGACTTAACATACATTTAGTAAACAAATTTTTAACTGAAGCTGGGCATACTATTTGAAGTAAATCTTGTCTTTTCTAAAGAAGGACTGAAAAATAGGAAATCAGGCAAGTGGGAGTCAGGAGACCTGTAGTATATTCTAGACCCAGTGCTACCTCCACCCATGTGGGTGTATATTTGGATGTCCTGGAACCTGAGCTAGTATGGCCTATCATATAAAATGGAAAGTTTGGGATAAAACTGTCATTTTTGTTCCTGTGTTTCCATAAAGATTCTAGATTTTTCTCTGATTAGCTTTTCCCTGTCATGTGTCAACCTCTGAACAAATCGTGACAGCGAAAGCAACAAAATGGGCTGTTTGTAGTCCCTGGGGAAAGAGAAATATTTATCTAAACCACATGGGTTAAGAAGGGGGGAAAGTCGATCCCACCTGAAAAGTGAAGACCCTTCCCAGAAATAGGATGAATGAATGATTCATGTTTTTGTCAG